TTTGTTTTGAACATGCTTTATTAGAGAAAGAAATAATAAATTTTGTAATTTCAAAAAAAAAAACAAACAAATGGTTGAAAATTTTTTTAAAATTAAGAAATTTGATATATTGTTGAAGCAGTTTTCTTTAATTACAGAAGTTATTATTTGGTTTTGTCAAGAAATAACAAATTTACATGAAAAATACAAATTTTTCAATAATTTATGTCTACAGGAATAATCTGTGCATAAAAAAAAATTCATATAAATTTTGTTGAAAAATATTTTTAAATTGAGTATTTTGAAAAAATTATTTAAAAAAGGTTATTTACAAAAATTAAAAATTAAATATTATACCTTCCCAAATTTGAGCGCTCGAAGACACTACATATTTTGCAATTTCGTGCTATAAAAAATATTAAACATTTTAAATTTTTTTGAATATGTTTTATGTCAAATTATAAATAATATATAAAATATAACAAATTTTCTATTAAATTTTATTTTTTCTGAAAAGTTTAAACGCTATTACACAAAAAAATGTTCATGAAAATTATTTGTAATATAAGAAATTTTCTTTTTAACAATTTTTATTAAAAAATATAACAAATTTGCTACTTAACAAATTTTTATATCTAAAAACATTTATCAATAAAAATTGGGACAACTTCACAAAAATAAATATTCAAGCAGACTAGCGGGTAAGAAATTAGAAAATATTAAGTGCTGCATACTTTTCGGCTGCTACCTTATTAATCTGTGTATCTTTCATATTTCGGGTGTTCGAAAATATGTGCGCTGGCATATATGCTACACATTTTTTAGTTGCTCGCGATGCCTCCTATTAAAGTGTTGTATACTTTTAGGCTGATAAACTGCTATTCTGTAAGTTCTGCTATAATTTAAATGACTTTTACTTGCGCAAACAAACTCTGACTTTTTCTTCAACTAAATATATTTATATATATATATATTCTCGTATATACGTATGTAGATTAGGTGTAAGCAGCTGTTAACTTGCTCAGCCAGCTATTGTTGTGTAGTGACTTAATGCAATTGTTTTTAGACTAAAATAACTTAACTAACATTTTCAAACATTCATATGTATAATTAATTATGCTAAACTAAGTAAAATTAGTTTTAATTTAAATTAAGTTTATTCCACTGCACCCATTTTGTTTTTCTTTTGCTTCTAAAAATTTTCATTTAATTTATTTGTTGTTGTTATTGTTGTTTATGTTTTTCTTTTAACTCATTTTAGGAGCAACATTGACTTACATTTACGATATGACACTTAAATGAATTCCTAATCCACTAGTTTCCCGGCCTGTCGAGCGCTTCGTGCCACTGCCGCACACGATTGCGCTCGCCGAACGACTTCGCGCGCTACTAATTAGCCTGTGGGCGTACACACATGAACTTAAACTTAAACTGGGAGTGTGATGTGTTTTGTTTCTAATTTGCCTTGCTTCATATTTTTCATTCTTTTTTTTTTTTTTTATGAGAATTGTTGCTGCTGTTGGTTTTGCTGTGATGTTTTTGTTAGTTTCAACGGTATGCTTGTTGTTGCTGTACATTTGTTGCTTACGAAATAGTAAGTGCATGCAATCTTGGTGCAGAAGAAGAACTCTTTGCAATCAACGCGTAGTTCTTCCATTCTCCGCCTCCGCTCGCGGGCTCCGCTCCAGCAGCTCAGCAGTGTTGGCTCACTCATTTCGAGGTGATCGCATTGCCCGCACTGTGTGCGTGACTCATGCCACTTATGCTCAGGTTTGTATGCGGAAGCGCGTGATGTTGCAGGTGGCTTGTTGATGCAGTGCCGGTGCTCACTGCCGCACCGGCAGTCACGTGACTATAAGCATGCTGCGTTGGCTGTGTGGCATGAGCGCCGCCACCGCTGCTTGCACCATAAAGGCTGCAATTAACGGCATTCAAGTAGTTTTCTTGCTGTTGCTGTTGTTGTTGTTGCTGCTGCTGCAAAAGTGCACGTTGTTGCTGTTGTTGTTGCAAGTAACTGGCATATTTGCCGTGACGTGTTGCCGGATGTGGGCTGACAGCGCCACCAACACCACTGTTGTTGTTGTTGTACGCGTTACGCATGCCGCTGCAGGTGGGCTTCTGCAGCGCTGGACTGTTGCTGTTGCTGTTGCTGTGATTGCTATTGCTGTTGGCGCTGCTGTTGCTCGTGTTGCGCAGGTAGGGTGAGTTGGCGGCCGGTGGCAGCATTTGTTGCACGCCGCCGCCGCCAACAGCGCAATGGTTGCTGGTGCCGTTGTGTTGTGACTGTTGCAGTTGTTGTTGTTGTTGCTGCTGATAATTTCTCAAACTGTTTGTTGTGGCGCTGTTGTTGCTGCTACTATTGTTGTTGTTGTTGCTGTTGCTGTTGCTGTTATTATTATGGTTGTTGTTGTGGTTGTTGCTGCTGTGCGCCGCCACTTCTCGGGCCGGCTATTGCGGCCAACCGCCGGAGATGCGCGGCCGCTTGTGCGCCTGATTCGGTCCGTCGTAGTCATTCAGCTGCTGCTGTTGTTGTTGTTGCTGTTGCGCCTGCTGATTGGCCGTTAGCCGCAAGTCGGGCGATGGCACATTGGTGGGCGTAACCGAACCTGTATTGAAAATTATAAAGTCTGTTATTGCATTAGTTTGGGCTGTACAATGAGATGATTTGTGTGGCGCGGCAAGGCGGGCTGTATGCTAGGTGAGGTGAGTGATATGTGAGTTGCACTAATTTGCTATTTATTTTTCTATATGCATGTGTGTGTGTGAAAGCGGTATGCGCGCGCATGCGTTGCAAAGCCTTCGCGGCGTAGACGTTGTTGTTGGTTGCTTTCGTCAGACGACAGTTGGCTCGCTGGCTGGCTGGTCAGTTGTTAGTGTTGCATGCTGTTTGCTGGCTATGCAATGCGCATGCGCGGCTTTTCACTGCTGCTTTTTTGCACATTCACGCTTTGTCATGCTTTTCATTTGCCTTTTCATTTTCATTCCAAGCACACTTTTAGTTTATGGTTATATACGGATGCATTATGTATGTACATATATGTTAGTTCGGATTTTCATGCAATGAGTTTTTATTATTGTTTTTTGTTTGCTTTTAGCAATGTAACACTAACACCAAGAAAGCGAAAAGAAAACGTTTACCCGAAAATGAAAGGTATAAAATAGTTAAAGATAAATATAAGACAAATAAATGTAAGAGCGCTATTCAAATGGTTATAGCAGTGATCCAAGCAGATACGGTGTGTTGTAATAATAATGGAATATATATTTTTTCAGAGTGGAAATCTTGTGAAAATTATAAAAAAAACATGTCTTTTAAATAACTTGTTAAGATTTATTTTCGAAAAAATCTGATTTAATTTAAAATATAAACGAGATCAAGAAAAAAAGTAAGTAAAGTAAGGTTGCATCAAAGCTATAAAACGCTTCACAACAAAAAAAGATACCAAACAAGAATTTGATTTATATCGTTCAGTTTGCTTGGCAATTCTATGCTATAACGGGCTGCTCTAAACAACTACTTCAGTGATTACAGCCATGCTTTAGATAATATTCTATGCCGAATTTCGTGAAGATACCTCGTCAAATAAAAGAGTTTTTCATACAAGAATTTGTTTTTGATACTGCAGCTTTTATGGTCGCTTTACGTTATATATCTTCAGTTCTAGTAGTGATGCTTTAGATTATAATTTATGCCAAATTTCTTGAAGATAAAAGTTTTCCATACAAGAACTTTACACCGATCTTCCAGTTTGTATGGTAACTATATGCTACAGTGGTCCGATATCAGCGGTTCCGACAAATGAGCAGCTTTTTGAGGAGAAAAGTAAATGTGGAAAATTTCAATGCGGCTGACAGACTGAGATTCCTATATCGACTCGTTTATGGCTATTTCTATATTTTAAAGGTTCTCCGGGATCTCCTTCTAGGTATTACAAATTTCTTGGTAAAGTTAATCGACCCTGTTCAGGTGAAATAGGATCACAATTTAGCCTTAAATTATTTCTCGGATACTGAAAGTTAAAACTGAGAGTAGGATAGAGTTTTTTGTGCCCTGAGAGTGAGCTTTTGATTTTCTGCTAAAACTTAGGGTATACATTTTATTTCCGAATGAAGAGAGTACTTTGAAAGAAGTATATTGCCTATCAGAGCTTTTCAAGCTTTTGCCAAACTGCATCGTTATCTCCTCGATTTGATAGGATAATATAGAAAATGCTTTTTAATTTAAAGATAAGAAAAAAGTGAAACTTTCAGCATTGAAAAACATGTTTTTATAATTCTCTTTTCTTTTTACTTGAAGCATTGGCAAATAAATATTTTCAAAAGACTCGCCAAAATTTAGCGAATATAGAAAAACTTTGAAAATTAATATGAAAAAGTAATAGCGCTTTTACATAACTTTTTAAGCTTTGAAAATTTTACATTAGAAACTATTATGTTTTTGTTTTTTTAATCAAATTATTGAAGATACATTTTGAAAAGGCTTTATAAGATAAGGGTAAAAATAAACTATAGCTTTAAACTTCGAAAGTAAGATTTTATAAATTTTAAAAACTTTTTCTGATTATTTTTTTCGTTACGCTTTGGTAAAAGATTTTTAACAAAAGAATCATGCTGAAGGAAAGTTTTTAATTTTCTGCTAAAATTTAGCGTATAAAATTTATTTCCGAAAATAGAGAGTACTTCGAATTGAAAGAAGAATAGTGCTTTTACAGACCTCTTTAAGCCTTTTAAATTTTACAGTACAAACGATTGAGGTCAAACTGTTGAGGCTTTTAAAAATTATTTTCTTATAATTTGTTTCGTTTGTCAAGCTTTGACAAATAAAGTTTTACAAAAGGCTTGAAGTGAGTTTTTGATTTTCTGCTAAAGTTTTGCAGTTAAATTGCCTAGTGAGTATTTCGAAAGTTAAATGTTAAATAGGAATTATACTTTTGCAGAACTTTTTAAGCTTTGCAAATGTTATATTAAAAATTTTGTTCTTTCAGTGCAAGCCGTTGAGGATAAGTTTGAATTTAGAAAATAGAAAAAGCTTTGGAAGTTAAATGTAAAAGAGAAGTAAAGTTTTAAGCTTTCAAAAGTTGGTTATAAATTTTGCTTTTTTTTTGGATTTGGAAAACATTTTCCTATATTTAATTTTTTGCAAAGCTTTGTCAAATAATTTATTGTGCAAACAGGCTCAAACATATATAGCCATCGCATGAAACAACAATTAAAAAAAAAATTGATAGATTATGAAATGTGAAAAGAATTCATAAAAAACTTTCATTACAAAAATCTCAATATTTTTGCATGACTTTGGAACACTTCAAAATAATTGAAATTAGTAGATGGAAATTCAAATTTTTGAATTCGAAAATTTTGCAAATATTTTTAAATTGTTAAATGTTAATAATCCCTTGTTTTGGAAATTTTGCAAAATGTAATATTTTGAAATCGAATATTTTAAATTTACCATTTTAAATGCTGCAATATAAATAATAATATAAACATATTTGCTGAAAATTCTAAAAAACGCAATTTTTCGAAATTCGTTAGATTAAAATTAAAATTTATGACAGTGAGAGAATTTTTACAGAATTCATTGTGTTATCGAGAGTAAAACACCAAAATAATAACAATACAAATTAACGGTAAAAGCAGAACTTTTAAATAAATAAATCAAAACTTTATTTTTTTTTTAAATAATTTAGCGAAATAATTTTTGGGTTAATATAGTTAATTACACATATAATATACTATATATATGCAGACATGCGGTAAAGTTAATAAATATAGACACTAAGAAAAAATTGCTTTTGTACATGTATGTATGTAAGTATGTGATAGACAGTGAAATACACCTTAATGAATCGCATAAAAATTTACTGATTTTAGTAGCTCAAATTATTTTAGGAGATTTCGAATAACTATATAAGTGGGAATTATATACAAATGTGGACAACCAGTGGATGAACCAGACAGAGCATAAAGGTGCTACCCGACTTGAGGAAAGTGTAAGAGAAACATAAAAAATAAACTAACTAAACATATAAACAAAACACCTGACAGATAGTGGGCCACAAATGTGCAGTGACAAATAGTGAGCAGAAAAAGAGTGAGGGTAATTATTATTTTGTTATGTTTTTGGTTTTTTGATAGTGTTCGATCATGCCTTTATTAAGTATGCTGCACGAAATGTATGAATTGTATGCATTGTACGAATATGCATGTGTGAGTGTAAATATGCATGTAGAGATATATGTATGTATGTATGTAAATAATGATTTGTATGAATATATTCGCTGCATTATACAGTTACTATTTTGTTGGCCATATTACCGGCAAAATTCCATACTCTAGAATTCGCACCCAGCTGCGAACGGTATTGATATCCTTCATATTTATCTAGCACTGCGATTGGTTATTAATATTTGCAATATATTAAAACGATTTTTTTGGTAATATTTTGTACAACCGCATAATGTAAAGAGAAAGAGAAAAATATAACAAATGAAATAGTAACAAAAAAATTACAATAAATTACAGTTTATTGGCGTATAGGGAGTGTATACTTAATGGAGTGTGTAAGGTATGTGGATGTGGAAGTTTTTTAGACGCTAACACACTTTGACGGATTGAGGCTTTGTATTCGCTTTGAGGGCGACAGTGCGTATGCGCAATTTTTAAATTCATAATAGGAGCTGGCTGCAATTTTGTTGTTGTTTTTGTTGTTATCGAGTAAACACATTAGGACGAGTAAAAGCATTTACTGCAATATACTGTTATAAAAATATATGTTTATATGTAAATGTGCACATATGTATGCAATTATACACATATTGATAGACTCATGTATAATATTACTCATACGCACTGCTGGACAACAGATAACTATGCACAGGCTACACTGCAGCAGTAACTGACACTACATTTCTCAATTTAACTAAAATTTCTGCATATTAAATACTTCCTCAACTAATTTCTATACCCAAAAAAATTTCTTCAATAATTCGTTCGCATTCAAGTCCTAACAAATTTGGTTCGTTTGTTAAGCAAAATAAATAGTAATCATGTTTTAGTGTATAATTATTTATAATTACTTTCGATAAAAGTTCGAAAAACGTTAATACGCATTTAAAAAAGAAAAAATCTATGAAAAAGTCAACTATTTTTAGCTAATAACTGACATGCTGCTGTAAATGCAATGCGCTTGCGCTGTTATTTTTTGTGTTTTTGTTTTTTTTTTTGTTATAATTGGTAATATTTAGTAAAAATTATATCGCTATTGCTATGCAAACATATGTACGCAGGCGCACAACAGCATTTAAGTAAGTAAAATAACAAATTTTATATGATACAATAAGAAAAACAAAGGGGATTCATCATAAAAAATATTTTAATTAGTAAAAAC